CAGGACTCCAGCACTCAGCATCCTCAGCCAGCAACAGCAAGTGCTGGCTGCTCAGAAACTTGCAGCTCTGCCTTGCACTAAAGACAGCAGCACCCAGCACTGGCACTTACTGTCTGGGCATGGTCAGGCTGGGCTGTGACCACAGCTGGAGGCTCGTGCTCCTTTTGCTCATTTTGCTCCTCTTTGGCCTCTTCTCCAGGAGCAGAGGGAGCCACAGCAGAGTCTGCTCTTGCTTCTGGGCTCTGTGGACAGATGGTGGAGTTAGGGACAGGCAGCTCCTATCATTTAGAACCTTATTTCTATTCAGCTCTATTTCTACAACCAGCTCTACCAAGCACAAATCATCAGCTTTGATAGCAATGGGATTCTAAGTCTCTCCAAGTAAATTAAAATGGGTTAATTCAGCCAGGCTGCAAATAGCTCTGAATTAGAGAGTTCACCCTGGCTACTATCAGCAAGCAACGTTCTCTCTGCAAATCTGAGCTTTGAGTTCTTTTAAAGCTCTGCAATGGAAAATTAGGAAATAGCCAACAATGCCTTTGCTATTGCTGTTGTAAACATGGAAATGGATCTTCTTTCAGCCCACCCAGCTGGCCCTCTGCACTCTACTGCCACAGGCCAAGCTCACAGTTCCCTGCACAATTCTGAAACACCAGGAACATCAAATGTTCCTTTCTGACTCACCTCAGGATCGGCACCTCTGAACACACGGCTCAGATGACCTGCAGTGGGCAAGGAAAATGAACCAAATTCTTTGAGAAAACTGGAGTGAACCGTGGCCTATTTAGAACAGCATCTGAGAAGATCTCCCAGTCTGCATTTTCAAAGGTGTCCTGCTTGACTGGTGTGGTTTAAAGCAGCAACTAAAAAATCACTAGGAAACTTACTTATTTCTGGCTGTGAGATATGGATTAGAACAAGAGCAAAACAGGCTTAAAACTTAAATGGAATAAAGAAAGTTTATTGACAAAAACTACAAGAATAAGAAACCAGAATAAAACTTCCAGAACAACCCTTTTCTCCCCCACTACCCAACCATTCCCTTGTTTACATGACAACATGGAGACAAAAAACTTTGGATCTTTGGTGTTTACAACAGTCCCAATTCCTGCTAGAGTCTTTTCATCAGTCTTTGTAGAGAAACAGAAGTCTTCTTCTGCTATCTATGGAGTTTTTCACATGAAAACTATCTTTCTTCATAGCTTTCTATTTCTCTGATGCCAGCTGCCCAGAAATCTGCCATCAGTTGTCTCCTCCCATTTCCCATCACTCTGAGGTGTGTTATGGGTCATGAGTCCAGGGATGTCATTTTTATGAATGAGTTATTCAAAGGCAAAAGTTCTCTATCTGTTTTTCTGAGCCCCCCTGGAAACAGAAGTTTTCTTTTTTGCTTCTTAAAAGACACAAATCTTCAACTATTACTTCTCCCCCTCTGTTCCAGCATCTCACAGTGTCACAACTACTTCATCATTTGCTCAAAATCCACACTTGGAAACTCTCCATTCCTCCCAATATACTCTGTCATGAATTAAAGGAGATTTTTTCAGAACACTACTGTCCATCTCCATAGCTTTAACAGAAAAATATTTCAGCTTATTAAAGCATCTCCTTCTTTCTCTTCCCCCTCTAAATTTAATTTGTTTCTTCACTCTCTTTGATGGGTTGATGGTTGATCACTCCCTCTCCCTCTCTCTGGAAAAAAAGGATTAATCTGCAAGTCTCATGCAGGTAGTAAAAGAGTTAAAATCTTGCTAAAGCTGCAGATGTTGATGGTGTCAGGTTTCAGTTCAGTGGCAGAAACTGCAAACCAAGTCAGGCCGGCTCCGTTTCTCCCCCCACCCCGCCCTCTGCAGCCTTGTCCGGCCTGGAGGGGGGGAGGAGGCCGAGACAGAGCCCTGTGACCTCGTCAGAAGCCAGAAACCAAAGAGAGCAAGAAATTCCCGGCCTCACATCTTCAGGTGGTGTTCACAGGTTGATCTCACTTCTCAACAGTTAAAACCGCTGCCAATTCTTACCCATGGCCAGGAATTAGTCAGGAGAAAAAACTCCCATCAGCCTCCAGCAGTTTCAACTTCCCC